ATCTTACTGCACCTCTCACTGCATATCTCACTGCACCTCTCACTGCACATCTCACTGCATCTCTCACTGCACCTCTCACTGCATATCTCACTGCACCTCTCACTGCATCTCTCACTGCACCTCTCACTGCATATCTCACTGCACCTCTCACTGCACCTCTCACTGCACCTCTCACTGCACCTCTCACTGCGTATCTCACTGCACCTCTCACTGCATATCTCACTGCACCTCTCACTGCACCTCTCACTGCACCTCTCACTGCATCTCTCACTGCACCTCTCACTGCATATCTCACTGCACCTCTCACTGCACCTCTCACTGCATATCTCACTGCACCTCTCACTGCATATCTCACTGCACCTCTCACTGCACATCTCACTGCACCTCTCACTGCATCTCTCACTGCACATCTCACTGCACCTCTCACTGCACCTCTCACTGCACCTCTCACTGCATCTCTCACTGCACATCTCACTGCACATCTCACTGCACCTCTCACTACTCATCTCACTGCATCTCTCACTGCACATCTCACTGCACCTCTCACTGCATCTCTCACTGCACATCTCACTGCACCTCTCACTGCACCTCTCACTGCATCTCTCACTGCACATCTCACTGCACCTCTCACTGCATCTCTCACTGCTCCTGCTATTCTCCCTGGGCCCCTTGCTCTTACTCTTCCTCGTCCAGACATTACAGTGTTTGTCTTTTTCTGTTTCTGTTTTCAAAAACATCACTCCTCAAAGTCCTAATTTTACTGTATAAGTGTCAATGTAATAGAAAAAAATTGGGTAATTTTGGGTCGGCCCAATTTACCCAACATAAATCAGCTGTGTGTCAATTATTCAATTGTTTGTTTATTATTTTGCTGAGATATATTGTTTTTGAACTGATATCATTGCAGGAGCAGAGGTTTTTATACTGTATCTAAGGTTTGGAATATTGTTTTTGCTATTGTGGGATGGTGTGTGTTAACATTCGCAAATACTACAAAAACAATCCATAATTTTGTCGGGAGGTATAACTTGTCTGTTAAGAAAATGTAAGCATTGTGGAAATGTGTTCTCTGACTGCATATTGTGTGAAAACGACATGAAATGTGTGAATGGTATGGCCACAATAGACCGATGCTGTGCTAATTGTGTTTAGAGTTTTGAAAATGTGACTACTGGTTGGACAAACGCTTGTTAGCGACTGAAAAAAACTGTAACATAAAAAAAAAAAAAAATCCTTTTTCTTTCCTTTTAATCCTCGCTTGTCTGGCTTATGCTACTCCGAGCAGTGTCTGACCTTTGTATTTTGAGCACTTCTTGCGTTGGTTTTGCCTCTTCACAATGACTCGCTTGGTTTAGTCCTCAGTTGTAAGTCGCTTTGGATAAAAGCGTCTGCTAAATTACTAAATGTAAATGAATTCATATTACAAACCCTGTGTTACTGCAGCATGAATTCCAGAAGTATTATAACAATCAGTTAAAATCTTTTAACAAACATGAGCACAAAAACTTAACCTATGTTGACACACACAGATATGAACAATCAGCACATGAATCTCAACCATGGTGACAATCAAAAATATTCGAACATCACTGAAAAGCTACTAAATGTCACAACAAAAACAACAGCAAAAAATAAAAGCAAATATTTAACATTTAACAAAATAATAGGACAATTCAGCTGCATAATTTTTCATGTTGCAATACATGCTGGGAGCTTTTACTACGCTGGTACCCAGCATGCATTGCAGCAAGGTACTTTTGATTGTCACCATTGTTGAGATATTAATGTGCTGATTATTGATGTCTGTGTGTCAGCATAAATTTACTATTAATGCTCATCTTTGTTAAAACCTTCTAACTGATTGTTATAATACTGCTGGATCTCATGCCGCAGTAACACAGGGTTTGCGATGTGAATATATTAATGGTACAACACAATTGTTAGATTCAAAAACATCAGTGAATCAGTTTATTTCATGATGATTATAAAACCATCAACAGATAACCATCACACCTGATCTTGTTTCACTTCAGCTTTCTTTACTCCTGCAAACGTCATAGCAGCCAAAAAAGACGAAAGATATAATTAAAGTTAAAGAGTCCAACTAATGGAAACACTAATCACTGTTATGGTGACTTAAACCGAAACACATTAGAGTTAAACCCCTGTTATTTCTCAATAAAAACTTCTGTAGACGTCTGACAGAAATAAAGTCAGTCTGGTTAGTAATATGAAGCTGGTAATGCTGTTTGTGGAGTTGTTTAATCCTCCTTTGCTGAGATCTTGAGAGATTTAATGTCTTCTTTTATCTTCAGTTGATTTCATCTAAGGCTGTGGCTGAAGTTAGTTGTAGTTCTTGTGTTTCTGCTCGTCTCTTTTTCTGTTCTCTTCTTTCCTTCAGTGATTCTGCTTGTAAACAGGATTATTAAGCCTGAAATTACTCAATATTTACAGTTTTTGCCCGTTGCTTGAACACATTTTGCAAAACTTTGCTCATTGTGCCAAAACTCTACACACAAGTAAACATGACACAACACTGGGAAATATACCATTCACATCTGTGTCAAATTGAAACTCTACTATCTACACATACTTGCATCATATGCATACACTTTCAGATCAGGGGGAACACACTAGTCTACTTTATATAAAACACTGCAGTCTTTGATTTTCACTGTTTATTCAGAAGGCATATTTTCAGGAGGCACATTTTCAAACAACCAAAAAAGCAAATAGGCCTACTCAATATTGTACATTGCAGTAACATGAATTCATTTTTTTATAATAATAGAAAAAACACTATACTGTAAACACAGAAAAGCATGGCAATTGTGCATACGTGGGCTCATATTTCCCCCACGCTGCCCCGGGACGTGCACAATTGCCCTTTGGCCAATTACATTACGACCCCGTCGTCTTGTTTTGCTCAGGTCGAATCCAGCGTCATCAATGAAAATGAATTCATGAGGCTGTGCAGCTCCATCCATGACCAAGATTCTCTGTAACAAAAAAAAAAAAAACATATTACTTTACTACAGTGCTACACATACTGAACCCTCACCCCATCACACAAGTCCCTGTGTAGCTCTCCGAATGGATCCATGTGGTACTGATATGGTACATATTCAGCTGCTATTGGATTTCACCAATACTGTATTGTAAATGTAAAGAACAGTTACACTTACCCGTACATATTCAGCTCGAAGTCCTTTGACCCTGACACTGTTCCTCTCAAATGGGACTCTGTAGAGCTGCTTCATGGTGATGTTGTGTTTTCCCAAGATGCGTCTGATGGTGGTGATGCTCACATGGTTTATGTTGTTGAACACTTGCCTGTCTGCAAGTATTTTCTGTCGTAGCTGGTGGAGACGGATGGCATTGTCTGCCCTCACTAGGTCCACAACGGCGAGTTTCTGCTGTTGTGTGAACAGGCGTTGGCGTCCTCCCCCAGAAGGTCTTCTAGTCATTCTAGAGAAATACAACCACAAATTGTCATCGGTTTGCTTCTTTTCTTACATCACTTTACTGTATATACAGTATCATCCACTGTACTGAAACATCTCAATGTACTGTAAGTAATCATGGTATGTTTCACAAAAACTACCACTTTGGCTGCAAAAGGTGCATTAGCACCCTGCAATACCCTGTACACGGGATGTGGTAATGTGATATACAGTCCAGTGCTGTAAATACTGTAATAGTAGAGTAGAAGGTAGAGAGGTGAAGACACACCTGTTTTCTAGTCGTTTTCTAGAATGTTCTTATTACAGATGCCACTGTGAAGCGGCTTAGATGTGGGTGGACTCTCTGCCCAGCTTCCCTCATTATCAGGCCATGATTGATGATGACATGGTCCACCAAAGTCATCTTATACATCTTATACCATCAGAAATAGGGGTCCGTGCATGGCCTCTTCGACCTTGACCTTGTCCTCCTCTTCCTCCTCTTCCCCCTCTTCCTCCTCTTCCTCTTCCTCCTCTTCTTCTTCCTCCTCCTCCTCCTCCTCCTCTACCTCTGCCTCTTGCTCTCCCTCCATCCATGCTTGCAAAGTTCTTGAAATGGCTAAACTGAGGGCTTTTTGTAGCTGGATGATTGGTGTTCAGTTTTGCAAGTAAGTGCCTTCAAGTGTGTATTTGAGTGGTTGCAATTACCCGATGTGTTTTGTATTTTGGATACATGTGTTTTCCAAATGGCACCCTGAGATTTCATTTTTGAACGAAGTGTCTTATGTATGAAATAGAGTGTAGTATGCAGGACCAAGTGTGTTGCATAAAGGAGTAAGTGTGTTGCAGAATTGCAACTAGAGTGCAAAGCAGCGCTTTTGTTTAAGGTATGGGTACATGTGTTTGAGGTATAGTAACAAAAGCTTCAAGTTGTGTTACTTTAGTCTAAGCATGGGTCTGTAGTGTTCAAGCAATGGGCAAAAACTGTAATATACACAGATTTTGTGGCTCAGATAAGGTCCAGTTCTGGTTTATTTCTTTGCTCTTGGCAACGTGACATTGTTATGGCCTGCTTGTGGCCCAGATCTGGCAATCCACATGTGCCAGATGTGGGCCGGATCATCTTTCCACATGTGCCAGATCGGCTGGATCTGGGACGTCAAAATGTTGCTTATGTGGGTACCCTTCAAATTGCGCAAATTTAAATTGCGAATTGAAAATAAAAACACGCAAATTCCGCAAAAACTCCCATATATGGCAAAAAAGTTTTTACTTTTGAGGTGATTTTTTAGGCAATTCGAAAAAGGAATATTTCGCAAAACTGCAATGGAAACAGTTTTTGCGCATTTACAGGTCAACTGATGTAGATGGCGCGGTATGTTTGGACAGAAAACGAGACATAGTCCTTTATTGAACTCATAAAAGACAAAAGAACACTGGATTCTAAACAACAAAGAAATGCCACAATCAATTCAATTTACAGTACATGCAAAGTTAATATATTTGTATCCTTCTTTTAGTACTACAGTGCTTGTGTGTGTGTGCTTGTGTATTCAGTCCTATGAGGATCTGGTTCAGCGTTTAGAGCCTGTAATCATGGAGCTTGAGCGCCAGGAGAATGTTTTGGTCATATGTCATCAGGCCGTCATGCGCTGTCTGCTGGCATACTTCCTGGACAAAAGTGCAGGTAGAGTGAAACCTTGGATCATACTTCTGGAGCATTAATTTACTCAAATACACAGGCTTGCAAAAAAGTTTGCAAACCCAGCTATTCCCAAAACATTGTAAGTAGATCGTAGAACCACAGCAACTAATGGTCTCTTCAATCAACTTGGCTCACAATGCTTTGGGAAATGCAGCCCTGAATGTCTGCATTGATTACTCATAAAAAGTGTTGTGATCTTCGTTTGTCTAAAAAAAAAGGCACTTACAGCATTGCTAAAGACATTGCATTGCTGGGTATTACAGAGCATTCCTTATTCCATGATTAGACAAGTTGTCTACAAATGGAGAAAATTCAGAACTGTTGCTACTCTCCCTAAGAGTGGGCATTTGAGTCCAATAGGCAATCCTGAAAGAGATGATAAAGAACTTAAGGGTAACAGCAAAAGACCCCCAACCCTACAAACTGCAAAAAAAAAATTTTTTTTAAAGTATTTATTTTTCACTCAGAACGTGATTTCAGCAATTTAGAAGACGATTTAGAACCCACCTCCTTTCTTTGGTACAATGAAGTACATCATTAAGACTAGGGTCATGAACATCGTGTGTGTGTGTGTGTGTGTGTGTGTGTGTGTGTGTGTGTGTGTGTGTGTGTGTGTGTGTGTGTGTGTGTGTGTGTGTGTGTGTGTGTGTGTGTGTGTGTGACCCGAAAAGGCCACCTAGGGAGATGGGGATATTGTGAAAGTGCACCTTCTCTGCATCCCGCATCTCCGCAAGGTTGAGCCATAGCATCTGATCTAGCATTCGGGACAGGGCGGCGGAGACCACTTAAGCCCGATGCTCACGACTGCCCGGGAAAGCAACTCTGCATCAGCCTCAGTGTAGCCTCAGGCATCTTTAAAAAGACGCGATCCGCCGTGCATCTTCAATGGTGTAGATTTTATAAGCAGCTACAGGAAAGATTTGGTTGAAGTTGTGCTGCTGCTAAAGAACTACAAATTGTTAAATTCTGGGGTTAGCTTACTTTTTCCAGCCTGCAACTGTAAATTATTATAATGCTAATTTATGGTCTTCAATAAAAAACTGCTTGAGTGTTGTAAGTCAGATTGTGCTTGTGTATAATTGTGACTGAACAGCTGAACAGACCATCAGTAATCAATGCAGAAATACAGGTAGTTCACAAATGTTTTGTTGGTCACTGATGTTTACAGTTTTACTCCTTCTTGTACATGTAAATTTGGCTGAACAGAGTCTTTGTAATTACTGCTCTGCCCTGACGTCTCTCTAGATGAGCTGCCATATCTGAAGTGTCCTCTGCACACGGTGATGAAACTCACTCCTGTTGCCTATGGTCAGACTCTCTTACTCTCTTCTGTAATACAACTGTTTACATAAAGATCAATTAGATCGTAAAATTATATATTTTTCTATTGTGTTTCCAGGCTGTGATGTTGAGTCCATTTTCCTGAAGGTTGAAGCAGTGAACACACACAGAGACAGACCTGTGGTGAGCACAGTAACACTCTCATACTGTAGCACTTCTGAAATAAAGAGCAGTGCGATACTCCTAGCCTGACTTCGTCATACTCATATTCTAGTCAGATGTGAGTCTAATACTTCTGCTCCATAGAGCTTTGATTATGAGGCGTGTCTTAACCGAACCAGGAAAAAAAAAAAAACTCTGCACTCAATTGGATAGACCTACAACCAATCAGAGCAACGCAGTAAGTGTTTTTTTTATGAGCTACGCAAAGTTGTCAACAGAACTCAACTACACGCACGCTGGAAGAAGTAGTAAAATAATGAGAGTTGCTTCTTTTACTTGGTCCTCCATGAGTGCGACCAAAGGAGAAACCACAACGACCACAGGGTTTTCATTGCGTCCCTTCTTCCTAGCGACCATCGGAGCCAGCTGATAAAATAAACTTTTGCCGAATCCCGGCAAACACATCTTTCCGATCGACAAATGCCTTGATTGCAGTTCTCTGTTCGTCTTTTAAAATGAATGCATCTTTGAGGGAAACCAGTTCAACCCAAGCGCTCTTTGATAACGTGATGATTACGTAACTGCAGATCATCTGTCCATCTTCGTATAAAGCCCGCCCTGGCAATTTGATTGGCCCGACTAATTCTGAACCGATCATAATTACTCCTCAATGGATCGAGTTCAGACCGAACTTCCCGACCAAAAAATGTTGTGGGCGGGGTTCGGGCTGGCATCCAGGCTACGATTCTCCTGTTACAGGCTTTTTTAATCAATTTGGTACAGTACAACCCCATTTCTAGAAACACTGGGACATTTTGTAAATTGCAATAAAATAAAGAGTCTGTGATTTGTTAATTCTCTTGAACCGTTATTTAACTGATAGAAAAGTACAAAGAAATGATTCTCAATGTTTTCACTGACCAACTTAATTGTATTTGGTAAATACAAACAAGTTTTGATTTTGATGGCTACAACACACTTAAGAAAGTTAGGACAGAGGCATGTGTGAGGCATAACTGTGTCACATAGCCATTCCTTTTGATTACACTTTTTAATCAGTTGGGAATTGAGGATACTAATTGTTGCAGGTTTCCAAGTTGATTTTTTTGCCAAATCTCTCCTGATATAAGACAGCTTCTCAACAGTCCGTGGTCGACTTTTTCCGATTCTCCTTTTCATGATGGGCCATACATTTTCAACAAGAGACAGATCTGGACTGCAGGTATAGGCCAGTCAAGCACATCCATTCTACAGTGTCCTACACATCCATCCTACTTTCACTCACTCTGATGTAGCATGTGCAGAATGAAGGCCTACATCTGAGTGAGTGTCTTGTCTTGCTTCCCAGGAAAGATGTCATCTTGATGGCAGTGCATGTCTCTATAATCCCAATTTACTCCTCCACATCAATGGTACCTTCACATATTTGCACTGCTGAACCCCCATACAATGTTTGCTCTTGCACCTGTCACTAATTCAATTCTGTATAGTCCCTTTCATCTTTGGACCTGATAACTCTGTCCGTTTTTCCCAAAAACATGCCGAAACGTGGATTCATCTGACCGCAGCACAGATTTACACTGTCTTTTAAACCGTCTGAGATGAGCTCGGGCCCAAAGAACTCAGCGGCATCTCTGCATAGAGTTGATGTATAGCTTTCTCCTTGCGTAACAAGTTGCTTTTCTTGATGCAGCAGTAGATTGTGTGAAGTTAACAACGCGTTTCCATGTGGCTATATTTAACACAGTAGAATGATGGTTACTCATGCAATGCCATCTTGCCATCATACAATGCCATCTCAAAAGACTAAGGACATGTGTATTGATTTTAGGCATAATGTCATGAACACTGTAAAAACTAGTATAAATGGTCAGGAAATAGAGGTTGTTGATTATAAGTATTTGGGATCTATTATTGATGACATGTTGTGTTTCGGGCCAAATACTAGTTTGCTTTGCAAGAAAGGCCAGCAGCGCCTGTCTTGCCTTAGGAAGCTGTCCAAGTTTAATGTGGACAAGACCCTGATGACCCTTTTCTATGGGTCGTTTGTTGAGTCAGTTGTCACCTTCTCCTTAATCTGTTGGTACGGGTCCATTACTGTAAAACATAAAAACTCCCTTTCCAGGTTAATTAAAGTGAGCAGTTGCATTACAGGCTCTCAGCAGAAAGGGTTGGAGGAACTTTATCAGCAGCAAATGCTAAGAAGGGTTGCCAGATAGTTCTCATCCCTTACAGGCTGAATTTCAGATGTTGCCATCTGGATCACGCTTTACACGGACTGAGATTTCTCTGGTCTCCCTGAATCTTTTCACAAAATGATACATGGTAAATCATATACATATAGGGATCATATACTGTAGCTTAGTAATTAAAAAGATTTCTGCACCAAAACAGGATACAAGGTATGAGACGAGAGAGCGCCTGTAAACGACTCTGTGGAACAATCTTGCATTGAGAAATTCCTCATGAAATTTGGCACAAAGTGGTGAGCCATGACCCATCTTTGCTTGCAGAGACTGAGCTTTTGGTGGATGCTCCTTTTACACTCAATCAGGGTACCAGTTCACCTGCTTATTATACCGCCGTCGGTGTATGAATGGGTATTCACCCATTGAAAGTAAGGGAATATGTAAAGCGCTTTGGTGGCCATTGGGTCTGTGAAAGCGCTATATAAATGCAATCCATTTACCATTATGGACTGTTTCAAAACAGCTTAACTTAGATATTCTGTAATCTTTAAACTTTTATTTTGCCTCTGTCCCAACTTTTTTGGAGTGTGTTGCAGCCATCAAAATCAAAATCTGTTTACAAAATGCAATTAATTTGGCCAGGGAATACATTGGACATTTTTTCTTTGTACTTTTGTCAGTTAAATAAAGGTTCAAGAGAATTAGCAAATCACAGATTCTTCATTTTATTGCATTTTACAAAATATCCCAACTTTTCTGGAATTGGGGTTCTACTATTTTTACAAATAATTGGTACATTTTCTAAATTATTAGTACTACTCTCACAACAGATCTTCAACAATGCACCCCCGCCCCCCCCCCCCCCCCCCCCCCCCCCCCACACACACACACACACACACACACACAAAGTCAGCATATTTTTTGTTGACTTCAGTTGAATCAGAAAGTAACTTTTGCCACTAAATCTAGTTTCATCTCTTATTGAAATTTCACCTTTTATTTACAGTAATTGCCTTTCATAAATTTATGAAAATTAAATTTTCTCTTTCATTTAAACATTTGACTATCAATTAGAGTTGCCACCTTCATTGTGGCTAATGTTAGCAGAGACCACAACGACTAGATTAGCTAGAGATGACGACTAGAGATAAATCCCCTGTGAAGAGCTTGTCGAAGTCCTCTGACCCTATGGCCAGCTCCAACTCCCAGCGTATGCTGGTATGATGTATTCCAATCCTCATGCAAAAGGAACTGGATTATATGTTCTGAATGATAAATCGGCAATCAGACTTGTGATGCAGCCTGAAATCATAATCACACACACACACACACACACACACATGTTGGTTCGTTTGGCCAGAGGAGAAGTGTTCCCCGACTGAGCCTGGGTTCTCCCAAGGGTTTTCTCTATTCTGTCTCCTGATGGAGTGTGTGTTCTTGCCACTGTCGTCTCCGGCTTGCTTAGTTGGAGACACCTAATATACAACTATATTATTGATCTGACTGCATTTACACTATGAGAACTGAACTGGGGTGCGTTTCCCGAAAGCATCGTTAGCCAACTATGGTCGCAAGTTCCGTCGTTACCAATAGAGTTCAATGGGATTTGCGACCAACTTGCGACCATAGTTGGCTAACGATGCTTTCGGGAAACGCACCCCTGAGCTGGATGATGACATCACTGCCCTTATGCAACAAAAATATATTGTAAATTGCTAATACAAAGACATAAGAGTGTTGGGACAATGATAGACTGTGCACTTCTTTGAATTTATTAAACTGCAATAACTTTTGCATACCTGAAACTTAACTGAATAATGAATTTAAAAAACTCACTACAATACAGTTATTGCCTTTTAGATAAAGCACCATCCAGTGTTTCTTGGTCTTCTGCTGGACTGAAGCACAGGCTCTACTCTTCAGCACAATGGTGACCCACAAAACTCACACAACAGAAACACTTTAAAGCCCAACAGAACATTAAACACTAACAGATCTCTCAAGATCTCAGCAGAGGAGGGTTAAACACCAAAAACAGCTTTACCAGCTTCACTTATTACTAACAGTTTGACTTTATTTTTAAATAAGATTAGGGATTTATTCTAGTTTCTAGCTTGACTCAACTAAATGTTTTTTTGTGTGTGTGTGTCAGAGAACTTATTTTCAGTTCGTATAACTGTTATTTACAAAAGTTGAGTCAACAAGAAAAAGCTAGGGGAAATTAGTACCAAATTTGTTTTTGTTGTACGAGATTTTAACAGTGTGGATTTTTGCTGAACAACAAAATCAGTCATTTAAACTTTTTTCTAGTTGTGTTTTTTACAGTGTAGGGCATAACAATAATCTAGCCTTGAGGTCATGAACGCATGAACTAATTGTTCTGCATTTGTCATTGAGAGCATATGACGTAATTTAGATATATTTTTAAGATGGAAGAATGCGGTTTTACAGATACTAGAAACGTGACTTTCAAATGAAAGATCAATATCAAAGAGCACACACACACACACACACACAGGTTCTTAACCGAGGACGAAGACTTGACAGAGCAGCCATCAAGTGTTAGACCGTATTCGGTAACACTTTATAATAACTACACGCTAATAATCATTAGTTAAGCATGAGTAAACAGTTAATTCATCATTCATAAAGCATTAATAGACATTAATAAGCAGTTTATAAATACAGCTATAAATGCTTTCTTCCTGATTTACAAGCATATCTATAATTTATTTAATAATTGTATTTTCATCCTTTTATTAATGATCAATTTATTATTTCTAAATGAATAATTGCATTTTTTATAAACCAGTTATTTAAGAGTTTTCAGTGGTTCATAAGATTACTTAGAATGTGTAAGTAAATGATTAATAAACTATTTAAATGTACATTCATACATCTTATTATTCAGACATATAGTGATGGTTACTTAGTGTGTTAATAAATGCTTTATTAACATGTATTTAAGCTGTAATTCAGGGTTAATTCGGGTAGTTATAAAGCATTTAGTAGTGGTCAGTTAACTATGTTTGTGAGCTCATCTAAAGTGTGGACTATTCATGCCTTGTAAAGCATTTATAAAGGAGATTTAAAGGCTGTTAAATATTTCTATGTTCTGTATCACTGTGTTGTGTTTGTTACATTTTACCGTTTAGAAGATTGATGCGCCTTCAAATCTCCTTTATAAATGCTTTACAAGGCATGAATAGTCCTCACTTTAGATTAGCTCACAAAATAGTTAACTGACCACTACTAAATGCTTTATAACTACCTGAATTTACTCCATTTACTTACACTTTCTAAGTGATCTTATGAATGACTGACAACTCTTGTTTGTAAATAATGCTATACTTCATTTAGAAATTATTAATTGATCATTAACAAAGTATGAAAATACAATTATTAAACGCATTATAGATATGCTTATAAATCAAGAAAAAAAGCGTTTATAGCTGTATTTATAAACTGCTTATTAATGTCTATTAATGCTTTATAAATGATGAATTAACTGTTTACTCATGCTTAACAAATGATTAATAGCATGCAGTTATTATAAAGTGTTACCCAGTATTCTAGGTTATTACGTGAGAAGGTTTTTTGTCCAATAATTTTTTACTCTGTTTTTTCAGAATTAAGTAGTAGGAAATTACTAGTCATCCAGTTTTTTATATCAGCTATGCATTCCGTTAATTTTGTGAATTGGTAAGTTTTGTCAGGGCGTGAAGAAATAAAGAGCTGAGTATCGTCGGCATAACAGTGAAAACTAATGCCATGCTCTTGATCTTCAACTAATGATCTTGAGTTTTGAGTAAATTTTGAGTAAGTTTTGGCACTTTGAACTGACTTGTACTATGTACAGTTGGTTTGGTCACATCATTAGAAATAAGTGTGAACAATTTTGAGTCATTGTGTGGAAACGATGACAAATAAGTGTGTTTAACTTACGCCTACCTGTGTTTAGCATTTTGAAACATCACAATGCAAAATGTGTTTTAGTGAGTGAGAGATGTGGGCCGGCTCTGGGACATCACAATGTTGCTATGTGAGTTGTCAGCGAGAAATGGAACTTATTTCCTAATAAGAATGGCGCGTCTCTACTCTTCGCGTTAAAACAAGAATGTAAAATTAATTTTACACTAGGTACACAAAATAGTTACACTTAGGACCTTAAGGACGAAAAATTTCCCCATTGAAACCCATTAAAACTGAATTTTTTAATCCCAGTGCCATTAAATGATGCCGTCTTTGTTAATAGGCTTTCATTCTGTTGGCAATGCTTACAATTTTTTATTTGTACTATTTTTTACCAGATGGTGCCATTTTCTCAGGTTTGGCCTATAATGCAAATATTCGCTTTATTCCTGTTTTCGGCTTCTGCATATTATAGAGCCAAGTGGATAAATGATGCTGCTATAATTGTGTGGGTGTGTTGGTATGGATGTCAGAGTGCGGTTTGTGTGTGTGTGTGTGTGTGTGTGTGTGTGTAATAAAAAAAATGTTTGTGTACGTGTAATATTTGAGAGAGAATAACTCTACTGTACTGCAAATCACAAATCCAACCATTGTGTACCAGTGGAGCTTTGCTGTCATCTAATGGGGAAAATTCGGTACAGCGCCCAAACAAAATCTTACTGAAAGCAAATTTTTTTGAGATATCAACCTCGAATTTGCAACAAAAATTATAATTGGATTTATGGCTTTGGTTTTCTAGCAGTTTTAGAGTTCAACATGCTTCATAATATATATATATATATATATATATATATATATATCATTTTAATAAACTTAAACCTCTATAACTTTTTTGTGTCACTTTTTAAACTTTTTTTTTACTTCAACGATTATCTGCCAAGGGTCTTTTTTCTTCAAGAGACCATTTTTATGACAGTTTTTGTTAATGGACATTTTTGTCCACAATAGACCTATGTGTATCTTATTTTAATTGACAACCCTTAACAAGGGTTAAGGTATAGCTACAAGTATTAAATTCAGTTAAATGTCAAAATAACTCCAATATCATACACTAGAGTTGTGTGGGCTGGGAGTAAATTAAGCGCGACCTGCTGTACATATTGGGTAGACTCTGTCAAAATCGAGGGGTCGAGGGTCTGTCCAAATACACTTCCCTCATCCACTTGACAAACTTGAACGCACTTCAAAATGGCAGTGGGGATTCCCCCGAGGGGAAGTGCTGAGGGAATTTGTAAATGTATGTCTAAAAGTGTTAAATGCTGTCCTGGTTCCATGTGCAAGTCAGCAGCCAGACCCTATTGGTTTCCTTTGTATTTTTTTATCTGTTCGGTTTTAGCAAGTTTATTGTCAGCACTTGTCAGGCCATAATACTGTGCTGCACCACATGCTTGGGTCTTGCCCACACCTAAGATCTGATTGCCCCCATTGTGAGAGTATAAATATCAAGACAGGCTCCTTCCTGGGTCGCTTTCTTTGCAAAAAACACTAATGCCTCACCGGGACATTTTGAAGGATGTTTAAGTAAATATAGTTTATATTCATTAATCTGATTTGTAAGCTTGCACGAACATATAACCGCAGTATTTGTGTACATTCTTTGTGATTAAAAAGTGCATGATTTCACAAACGTTAACCATATTTTATCTTCTATTATCTCCTTTCTTTGTTTGAGATGTGAGTTTGTGTGATACTGATCATCTTCTTGTGATGTTTCAGAATGTGGATGTGGACAGAGATCCAGAGGATGCTTTACTGACTGTACCAGAACACAACTAGACAACATCACAAGTTCTCCTCTTAATGATGACATATATGTTCCTTACTTTTAGGGCCTTCTGACCTTGGATGTAATTTTGAAGTAATTGTGGGGTGAAAAGTGTTATTCAGTGCTGTAGACAATGTCACACAGATCTTAATTCAGGTATGATATGAAATTACCCATGTGTTAAATAGTTTGATGAAAACATTAGTTAAATGGTTAGTTCACCCAAAAATTAAAATTATCCCATAATTTACTCACCCTATGCACCCTAATCATATATGACTTTCTTCTTTTTAAGCCAAACACAGTTATATTAAAAAAATATCCTAGCTCTTCAAAGCTTTTAATGACGTATAGATGTCTAAATTGACAATTTTTAAAGAGAAATGTCAGAGGATCGTGAGTTTGTTGCCCAGCCCTGTTTGTTTGAACCGCGAGAGGCGACTACTCTCTCCTAACTCTCACTTACGCTACTCCAGCCTACGTCATGCGTCGGGTCAGAGGTCACTCTTACGAACTAAACTAGACTTGTGTACGGCCATTACCGGAAACCAATGATTATAGTTTATGAAGTTGTAACTATAGATATTTTTCTTACAAAAACGCATCACTTCACTTCAGAAGGCCTTTATTAAACAAAAAAAGCATTATTGAAGACACCTGATGTTAACAAGCAGCATCACTGAAGGAGAAAATTAATGTAAAATGGTCAGCATTATGGTGATCGGTGTTTAGTTTAGTTGGGCTATTCACCCTTACTTTTTTAACTTTAGATTTTGTTTGGCTGCGGTAATTCAGTTATAACAGCCAGATGAACAAAGAGAAAAGGTGATATGATGGTGTTGGTTGTGTTTTAACATAATCAATAGTTGGCCTGAATCACTGAACTCATTGAGAGTTAAGTTTACCTTATGGGTTATAGCAGCACTGTCCTTGTAGAGTATTTTTTAGCCTTGTCAATTAAATCCAAATGATCAAATCAATTACAAAAAAAAACCTTAGGCACATAGACATACTTTATCTAGGCACATACAGACATCAAAAATTAGCGTATGAATCTCAACAATGTTGACAAACAGATCACCTCTGAACATAAGCTCATTATTTATTCATGCAGCAATGCATGATGGGAGCCATGAATGAGATTTGATTGGTGACATCCAGAATGCATTGCAACATGCTTTATAATTGTCACCATTGTTGAGATTCACAGGCTGATTCTTGTGTTTAAAAAAACTATTTTGTATGTGATTAAGTTTTAAGAAATTATTTTGATTACATTGGAAAAAGTTACAATTATTATACTTTTCAAGGACAGTGCTGCTATAATCAATAAAGTAAATGTAACTCAGAAATTGGGTTCTATATGAGTTCAGGTCAAATGATAGTGAAATAATGATAATGTTAAAACACAACCAACCCCAGCATATCACCTTTACTCTTTGTTCATCTGGCAGGTATAACTCATGTACAGCAGCCAAACAAAATCTAAAGTTAATGACTTAAGGGTAAAGAGCCCAACTAAAGGAAACACTGATCTCCATAATGGTAACATACCAATTATGATTTTCACCTTCAGTGATTCTGCCTGTTAGCATCAGGTGTCTTCAATAATGCTCAATTATCAATCAATTAATCACTTAATTATCTCATTAACTTTAACACTGCTTCAGTGTTCATTTAACACTCTCTGAGTGTGGACTCATGTAAACACTGAGCAGTGTTAATTTAACAGATTTTGCTGTGTATAGTCCATTAGTGCAGTGAATGAAAAGAAGTGAGTGAATTCAGACACTGATGAACACCTGCTAAGCAGAATCACTGAAGGGAAGATAAACAAAAACAAGAATCCAGAGACTTTCTTACTGAAAGCTAATTTTTTTTGAGATATCAACCTCGAATTTGCAACAAAAATTATAATTGGATTTATGGCTTTGGTTTTCTAGCAGTTTTAGAGTTCAACATGCTTCATAATATATATATATATATATATATCATTTTAATAAACTTAAACCTCTATAACTTTGAATTTTGCATAAATTCAAACACTCTTGAGTTTTTGCTGTGTAGTAACATTCAGGAAACTGGACATTTTTATGTTCTTGGAATGTTAGAAATCAACATTACTATCACGTTGAATTTTTAATCGAAAATTACGTTTAAAGAACGTTTGAGGAACATTATACCTTTTAAAACACGTTCCTCTAACGTCAAGAAAACTGGACATTTTTCACGTTCCCAAAACCAACAATGAATATTTAGAGAACGTTCTTATAACAAAATTCTGTTAGCTGGGAAGAACTTTTCAGCTATCAAATTTCAACTCAGTCGTTGCAATTTGTCGACAGTCCTCAATGTGGAGTCAGTCGTTTTACTTTGTTGTTGAAGCTACTCTGAAACTGTAGTTTGACAAGCTATAAGCTACTCTTAAGTTAAAGTAGTTACAGTTTTTTTCAACTGCTTACACACAAAATCCTTACTTGTCACATAATTTGACACTCAAACACTAGAACCACACACCAAATCTGCAAAACCATACACTAATTCTCGGCCTTCGACTCAGTTTTCAATTTCATAAAACACTTTTTGCAAACCACAACACACAATTCTCTATGTAACACACAAATCTAATAGGAAGTATCTTGATTTCCTTTTTCAAACACAACCTATCAAAATGCCACACTAATTCATCAGAGCCTCAAACTAACATGTGCAAACACTCATTGCTACTTAACACCAACCAATCATGGCTTTAGAATATGCCTATAAGTCAAGTCAAGTCACATTTATTTATAGCGCTTTTTACAATAGATTGTTTCAAAGCAGCTTTACAGAGATAACAGGAAAATAATGCAAAAAAGTTTGTTCCAGAAGAAAATAGCGTCACAGTTCAGCTTAAGTAAGTTCAGTGATGTTTCTTTTTTTTTTTTTTTTTTTTTTAAGTTATTAATTTAGTTAATTTATATATATATATATAGCTGCTCTGGAGTAAACTGTGATGTCATCATCAAGCTCAGTTCAGTTCTTGTATAATAGTGTCAATGCAGGCATATCAATATTATTGTTGAATATTAAATTAAAATATTAAATTTAATGTCCCCAACAAAGCAAGCCAAGCCAATGGCAACAAAGGTGGAAAAAGGCGACAGTGCCAAGGAACCAAAACTCCATCAGTGACAGAATGGAGAAAAAAACCTTGGGAGAAACCAGACTCAGTGGGGGCCAGTTCTCCTCTGGCCAATGAACGAACAGTGTATGATTATGATTCAGGCAGCATTACAGGTCAGAAGTCAGATTGGTTTGGAACAATATTATCCAGTTCAGTATACATTTTATAAATATAAATACAGCATAAATATTATCCAATATAAATAGGCCAAAGGTCAAGTTATAGGTTTTTCGGACTGTATTCACAACCACAAATGCTTACAGTAAAAAAATAGTTTTTTTTTTCAATCTTGCTTTCGTGTTTACCATGAATTTTTCAACATCTCTCTGCCAATTACTTTCACTCTTGTACAGAAATGTACATAGTAGCTCATGAAAGAAGAGCTTTAGGTTTTGAATAACTGTGTGTATATGATATATCCAAAAATATTATATCAATATCATGGCAAAGGTGTTTGCAACGTAAGACAAATGTTTGCTTTTGAGATGTGTTTGTGATATTTTGAATGCAGTGCTTCATTTTGCAAGAGATGTTAGGTATTTTGCATTTTGTGTGTGAAATTCTTTCGGTTGGGCTGTTCGGCGACGCGGTAGAGAACTTTGCCCAGCAGTTCACGAAAGCGTTAAACCTGAGGCTGGCCACCCAGGGATGGAGGAATGCTCTTGGAGATGGTCACCGACCACTCCCTTCACTCGTAGGAGGACCGTTTTTTTTTTTGTTTTTTTTTTGTCTGTTCCCCCGCTGGTTCCCAAAAAAGCGGAGCCAGCGGCACCCACATATTCAAAGAAAGAGCAATTTCTCCCAAGAGGGCTAGTTTGGCTGTGTGTGACCCTGCAAAGCCTTGCAATTCAGCCCCCTCTTGTTCGCCAGCCGGCACCTGGGTGCGGTTCGAGGACCCGGTCATCCGCCTTCTCACCGCTCAGTGGAGTCAGGAAGTGCTGCACTGCACACTCAGACCCTGCTTCGGGCCGCCTCCGGGCCTCTCGAGCTGGGTCCCTGTTCTCCACCTCGCTGCCCCACCTCGGGTACGTCTGTGGTCTCCCTAGCTCCTGGCACTGTGTGTGTAAGCCTAAAAGGGCTTCCTACCGGTCCACCTGGCCCCAATCTGACCAGCAGACTCGGCTCCTCCCCCACCACCTCCTCCTCGGAGTCAGAAGCTGCTGAGATCACTTCATTCCACGTATTACTGCATAGAAAGTTCATGATCAAGGACTCTTTGGACAGAAATATGTTCAGTAAATCAAATATGGACTACTCTATAGCTGATGTAACATCAGAAGGAGTCAATAAATATATATATCTCAAATGTGGACTACTGTACACTATGGAAGCCAGTTGAGTAAAAAAATATAATTCTGGTAAGTCATAATGATGAGAAACTTTCTCATCATTATGACTTAGTATCTCATTATAATGAGAAACTTTCTCGTAATTATGACTTAGTATCTCTTAATAATGAGAAACTTTCTCATAATATGACTTAACATCTCATAATAATGAGACATTTAATTGTCATTGTAACTGATTGCTTTAGCTTCACAGTGGTGGTAATGTAAAATTTCTGATCCAGGATCAAACTCTGAATGAGATTAGTGAATGAACAGGCTATATGATGATTTTGTCATTATAATCAATCAAACAATCTGCATTTAAAAACCGTGTGTGTGTACAAGTGTGGCTTACAAAAACACAATTCAAGCAGCAAGACAAAAACTCAATTATTTTTTAAATACATCATGCACAAAAAAAAAAAAGAAAGCCACACTGTGTTGTAGAAAAACAGATATATCAAAAATCAGCACATGAATCTAAACACTGGTGGCAATATTTTTTTTATTGTTATTTATTCATGCTGCAGTGCATGCTGTGAGTTTTATACAATCC